AAAATGCGCACACAACCAGTTATTCTTGCTATCGACGCATTGCTCGAGTAAGCAGATTGTATCATCTTCACTTCAGAAATACTAAGTTGTAACAGACATGTCCAGCTACATTACCCAGGGGTGAGAGTGTTCCATGAAGATAGAACGGATATACCACACGGCGCAGAAGTATGGTCACCAGGTTCCGCTTCCGCGTCGGTTCTTCAGCCTGGCTTTGATTCACTCATGGTCCTCCAGGCCCCGAGGCCCAGAAAATTGATCTTGTGGTAACTTTAGGCGGTGATGGTACAATCCTACATGCCTCGTCGTTGTTCAGCGCTGGTGCTGTTCCGCCGGTCCTGAGCTTTTCAATGGGGACTCTAGGTTTCTTACTACCTTTCCGTGAGTCCAATTCTCTATTCGTCACATATACCCTCATTGACCCTGCTGATAGACATTGACGACTTTGCCAAGGCATTGGAGAGTGTGTTCACAGGGAAGGCTACCATTCTAAACCGGATGAGACTCGCATGCACATTCTATAATGAAGATCTCGCAAAAAAGGGGAATGATGGAGATGGTAATTTAAGCGTCCATTATACGACTGGCTCTAAACCATAAACGCAGATTGGCAGGTTATGAACGAGATTGCTCTCCATCGTGGATCAAGCCCGCATCTCAATACCATTGATATTTTTGTTGATGGACAACATCTAACAGAGGCAGTGGTACGTGTCTGGGCTTATCTGAGGCGACAGGATTTCATTTTCCTTACAGTCCGATGGTTTAATTGTATCAACACCAACTGGTTCTACGGCATACTCTCTATCTGCTGGGGGGCCTATCGTGCACCCGTCCCTAAGCGCACTAGTTTTGACCCCAATATGTCCGAGGAGCTTGTCATTCCGACCCCTTGTATTTCCATCTTCATCAGTGATCACCTTGCGAGTAAGTTGGCGCTTATAAAATCACTTCCAAAACATGTTTTAAATCCGCAATAGATAGGCGATGGTAGTCGTGCACCTGCGGGTGTTTCAATGGATGGGCGTAACTCGCATGTCCTTAATCCTGGCGAGTCCGTCAACGTGCAGGCATCCCCGTACCCCGTACCTTGCATCAACCGATCGTCCATTGCGGACTCCGATGTTCAGGAAGGCCGTGAGGGAGCAGGACCTGGGAAAGAAGACGACTGGGTACGAGATATCAATAACCTTTTGCAGTATAACGCTACTTTCAGAAGCAAGGCCCTGCTGAGGCATAGCCGGACTTGAAACCGCAGGATCTTCGCAACGGAATCTTTGCTTCGTTCGCCTGTCCTGGGATCAACGACATCTCTGATTGGACAGCAGCATTTGTATAAACAAGGGATCTTTCTATCTAAAATCGTACAATAAAGTAAAGAATGATCTGTCTACCCAGCAGCCCTCCCGCCAGCAGGTGCATATCCTGGTTGACAGAACAGAGATTATGGAAAATGTCTGGAACTATCTGGAATATATGGATGGTAGACTGAAATCACATAGACGTCCTCAACCATCATGTTTAATAACACTCAACCCTCAACCGACAAGCTCCGTAAATATTGACTATCCAAATCGATAGACAAAGGCTGATGTCTTCAAGGCCTCCCAAACCAAGATGATCGCGATGATTTTTCTTTGTGGGATGGTGACGGGGATGGTCTCCGAGAGACTTGTGGTGAACCTGGTGCCGATATAGGGCGTGGCCTACCCCCTGGGATATCAAGATAATGTGGAGGTGGCACGTCCATCTTGTCGGGTCTCACACACACATCGATGACTTCGCCGCGTAGCAATCGTGTGACAGCCCCGACCCATGCACTCTCTGAGATGCGCACAACACGGCTCTCGCCGTTCATCTTGGCGGAGATCATGAATGAAATGCGCTCGCGCGGCACGTTCGCCAGTTCCTCTGGGAATTCCTTCTGTGCAAAATCTAATGCTTGCTAGTGTGGCGTTCAGTAAAATATCAAGCCCGGATCCATGACGAACTTGCCTCATAGTCGTCTGCTGGTCGTACATATACAAGCTTAGACCCGAGACGATATGTTATAATGTCAGCAGCAACAGGTATTTCAGCGCGTTGCATTGTGTTGAGAGGCGATGTGAGGATTTGGGTAGCGATTTGTATCGATCTGAGGGTACACAACTGGAGACTTTAAATAAGAAAGGCAGGCTGTGGCCTACACAGAACAAGTACTGCGAACACTGCCACGTGGAACTGTCACACAAAACACATTATGATTTAGGCAGTGCATAACTCGAGTAGTAGATCCTAAATTTATTACTACCCAAGATGTAATTTAGGGCGGTACATTTTCCAACAAATGGAATAGAGCACTGCTATGAGGTTTTTTGATATTAATATTGCTACCACTCATAGCTTCTTTCGTTGATTTCTTCTTTTTTGTATATCTGTCTTCCCCGAGGGTAGCTTCCAACCCGAATGCAGTGGCTGCGAATAAAGGTGATATATTTGGTTGAGCAAGCGCGCCAGTATGGGTCAGGTAGGCGTGGAAAGCCCGTCCTGATAATAGGTGCACTGAAGATGACACGGCCTCCGTGAGGAGCAATACCTGCGCAAGGTGCTCAATACTCTCAAGCGCATGCATCGCCTGGGCGATAAGTTGGACGTTGCGGTCGTGTATAGGTATAGGCTCTTGAGCTTCAGCTATTGGTGACTCCGATGCTGACCAGTTGAACGAAGCCAAGAAACAGGACACCTCGCGCTTCGTCCAGCGCTCCTTTTCGCGCTCCTTGCTCTTCGTTTCTTCAGCGCGGGTATGGAGCCTTTGCAAAATCCATCGTATGGCAAGGACTGACAGAATTTGTGACGATGGTAACGCCCGCACCAATGGAATGTCCGAGCCGAGGATTCTGAGGAATATCGTGAAGCGTTCATCTGATGGTCGTAGAGGCAGTGGAGTAGAAATAGGCTGGGTGGTGCCCGTTATAGAAATCGAGTGAAGGAGATCGTGAAGGAGGCTCACGTTCACGGGCTCTTGCGCCACCCGTGTGCCCCGGCGGAGGTATTCCGTCACTATAGGCGGTTTGTACTGGTGAGGAGGAGATGATGATGTTATGGAGGTACCGGGACCTTCGTCCTCCGGGCCACGGAGGCGGTGGAGTTCGCCCTTCAAAGGGGCCAACGGGTCATCGGCATCGTCACTATCCGACTCCACAACGTCAATAAGTTCATCCTCGTCGTCTTCCTCCGACGACTCACTCTCCTTCTCGTCACTTTCCTTTTGGCTCAACTCCGGCAATCCAAGAGAGTCGTGGAGTATCGAATATACCCACTCCCGGATTGGACGTCCAATACTCCGACTGACTGTTTCGAGATCCGGATTCTCGAGGAAAAGACGCGGCCAGAAGGTTCCAGAGCCCAATATGTCTACGAGCTTGGGCGCTAGTTGGCCTTGCCGGTACGCTCCCAGGTAGAGCGCGCGCAGGATAACAGGATCTTTGAAAGCTTCATCTTCTTCAGATTCAAATAAGTCTTCCTCAACCACGACTTTCCTCGAGAGGAAGGGCAATAATGTGCATGTGTCAAGTCCATGTAGTGCACACACCCTAGGTGTGGATGATGTTTCCAATGTGTCCTCTTCACGCCTGGGGATCGCATACTGCAATGTGGCTTCCACGACCCTCTCAACAATGCTATCCACCTCCCCTGAACCTAACGCCGTCGTAAGACGTGCCAGAAGCGCGTTCACGGTTCTATCTATTAAATCCATAACACTACCCACTTGATGTTTGGGTTTCTTGCGTTTGGGGGCGACGGGGGATAATATGGTTTGAATTGTTGAGGCCACGCGATTGATTCGCTGAGACAATGATAGTTTCCTATCGAAAAATAAGGATTGCAGATTACTGCGGCCTGGCTCTGAATCCTTTGAGAAATCGTTGCCCACGAGTGCGCCCAGCAGCGGCAGTAATGTGACTGGAATTTTCAGGTGGGCAGCAAGTAAATCCGGCTTGTAGACGGGGAATGATAGTGTCAACGTATCTGTGTTCTCAGGTGGAATAATACCCATGCCGACGCTCAAGTCAACGGCGGGCTTCTTTTTGGCCTTGGATTTTCGGACCTCTTGAAACCCACTATCCTCTTCTTCATGAGAAGCTGTCTCCGCAGGGATGGGTGCGTACCAAAGCATCTCCTCCAAGGGGATATATCCACGATATCCCTCTGTATTCAGGACAACAAAATCCGAGTCATTGCCAACCACATAGCCGCCGATCTTGCCGGCGAGTTCGACTGCGTAAGGATCTCCCTCTTCATCGGCAAAATGGAGTTCAACGGTGTCTGTGGTGGAAGATATTCCAAGAAGGGCGCTGACGCATGCTGTGTATGCTAAAGGTGGGATAATGCGAGTTTCGTTTAGGAACCGGTGGGCACCGCGGGATGTGGGCGACGTCCGGAAGAACAGGAGCGCCGGCTGAATATGTGACTGTCCAAGGCGAGAGACCAGAGTTGGGAACTTTAGCTCTGGGGAGGCACCTAGATAAAGGGGATCGGTCAGAGATGGAGACACATGCCCCAAGCTCCATCGATAACATCTTCACACAGACCGTCGAAGACAAAATAGATCTTCAGTCCAACCTTGAGCCATGCTTGCACCACTGCTTCGACAAGCTTGCAAAATTCACTGTATTCTCCGCCATAGACCCATGGTAGGTTCGAGTTGCGATACAAGTCGTAGATGAATCTGCTCTGGATAAACAGGAATAGGGCCGTCAGGCGCTGAAACTGACTCACGACCACCCATCCACAACAATTGAGATCAAAGCGTCTTGCCCTGAGGGAAAAGTCAGGCTCGTTGACAGAATGCGCTGGTTTTCGCGGAGGTAAGTGGTCAATCCATGAACTCCCATGCTTAGCTGTGCGAGGGTGGGAGAAGACTCAGAGTCAACGCACTGGTGTAACCGGTTATTGATATGAGTTGATATGATGATCTACCACACAGCGGTGTGGTAATGACAAGTCAACCCTGATCGCATGGCAACTTGGCCGAGTGGTCTAAGGCGCTGGAATTAGGTACTATCCATCCAGTCCGAAAGGGCATGAGTTCGAACCTCATAGTTGTCAGTCAGAAAGAATTTTTGCATCTCCGCGCACACCTTAACATATATATTGACTTGACTTGCTGTTTGAATGCAATGTGAAATTAGGTGGATGTTGCAACATTGTCCTCATGAATGTATGTAATTAACTAATATTATATCACCCCAAAAGATCTATACCCGGATGCCCCAGTGTTGATGCTCTATGTTGACCTCCTGCTATCATCCTCGTCTGGAGGCACCTCTCTGTCTTTCCAACGCTCATACGCCCGGGTGAACGTGCGACTAGCAAGAACGTAGGGTTCGTTCGACCACGCCTTCTCCCAAATGCGCTCTACGAACTGTCGCTGTTCACCAGTTGCCACACTCTCTTGAAGAATACTCATCACCTTTTGTGACGGGGCAAGAAGCTTGCCGATCCTATCCCAGAAAGGCGGAATATCCGGTGGTAGAGGCACGAGTAGTGAATGAGACCTGGTGGTAGCAGATTAGTACTGTACTAGTGCAAGTAGCGTTGTTACACACCGAAATTCAGGTATAGGGCGTGGAGGAACGATCGGGCCCCACCATTTGCTTGTTTCCCCATCCTGTGGCGCCGGTGCACCCTCAGGTTGGGCAGCCATCTTCTCTAGGTGATCCTGATAGTCTTGCCAAACCTCCTGTCGCTGCTCATAACGCTTTCCGACTCGTTGTTGGCGTTCGAGATCCATCATCATAGAATCTGTCTTCTCGTGGATGGCTAACCGACTCTGTGTCGTCCAGAGGTACCAGCCCTCGTCCCAGTACTTTAGAGGTTCATTCGACTTCTTCTGTGACATATCGCCATCTTCTACAGGCCTCCCTCCGAGCATGTGGGGTAAATTCGAAGGTTGACCTTCCGAAGGTAGAGGGTACATAGCCTTGCCATCTGGACCAAGGTTACGATGGGTTTTGAATGCGATAATATTCTTCACTTCGTGTGCAAACACTTTGCGGATGCATAGCGAGCGACAGGATGGTTCCTTTCCATGAAAACGACCGTTTACGCTCTGGGAGCAGTAGGTCACACACCACTCGTCGGTTTTGGGGGAGAATCTGCCTTGTACACGTTCAGTAACCAATGAATAGATACTAATACAGCCAAATGCACATTACCTTTCGGAGGTGTGAGAATCTTTATCGTCGGCCAGTCCGCGAATGGTGGTTTCTTGGCGCGCTGGGACACCTGTGCATCGGTGGTGGTGGCAGACATGCTTTGGGGAAAGCGTGGGGTGTGCGGAGTGGAGATGCCAGGGGTGCTTACAAACACGCACGCAAGTGCGTAATCACCGGCTTCGGCGTTTACAGCGTCGGAGCTCTAAATTTTCACGATAAAATTTTTGCGCCGACATTGGGCGATCCAATTCTATCCGCGCCGTCTGAAGAATCGTTGTCGCAGCTTACACACAGGGTGCTCTACGTACCCGCTATCTGCTGTGGGGAAAGTCCCCGGAGACACAGAGCATGTCCTCGCTCAACCTATGGAAAGCGACCGGCTCCAAGCACGACGGTACTGGTCGAGGACGGCGAGAATGACTTTGCTGGGGCCCTCTGGCTGCCACATCCATCTCTGCCACTCTGTCGCTCACTCTGAAAACTGGTGTGTCGGCGAAGGCATAGGTGTGCGAAGATATGAGCGCTCCTATTGCTCGATGCACTGGTGGGAGGATGGGCATCCCGTTGCTCATAGACATAGTCATACGATTGTAGATGTGAAGTTTTACTTCAGTCATCAACTCAATGGGGCTCACTCTCATTCGGCGCGGCTTATTTTTTCCTGACTTGAACCTCGTTGTTCATCCCTTGCGAACCTAGTTCGTCTGTGCACAACTGGTGAGCGTCTTATTCCTGTGCCTCTTTCTGCATGATGCGTTGGATCTTTTTGAATTTCTTCATGGTGTATACCCACGTGGGGCGAGCTCCAGAATTTTGACCCTCTGATGTTTTATTTTATTTCGTTCTACCTGTCGTTCTATATCCCATACTAATCACTCATTTTCCAGGTTCGTTGGGGGATTTAATACTTTTATGTTGGCTTCGGCTCTGCACGCGTACCCCTTTTAGAATAATTCCTACTTGACCTTCCCCATAAACTCATTTAAAGGTGTTTGCGCGTTCTTAAAAACCGTTGACCAATGCCTGATCGCCTCTGTTCTGGCCAAAGCTCTGGGCGCTATGGTTTTATGAAGCACTCTGATAGAGCAAATTCAGGAAGTCGCCCCAAGCCCGCGCAGGTTCAAGGAGATTCTGCAACTGCCTTGGAGAGACAAACAAGGTGCGCAGTCGTGTGTATACCATCCGTTGATACGTTCTATCGTCCAACGTTTATACTATTGTCTGCTATATTATATGCCACAGTACTTACTAAATCTGAACGGCGTCTACCCTTGTTGACGAGAGCTTTTGCTACTTATGTCCACTGTCAGTATCTGCTATACTGTATTTTAGTGACTAAGTAAACGCCATATGTGTCTCTCGGCAGTAATAATAATGTGGTACACTCGATTTAAATAATCGTGGGCGAAAAGTAGATGGGAGGCCAGCAGCATGTACTGAACAGCTCCTTTCCCTGTCGATCTGCTACGCATCATGTGCACCGCCACTACGGAGGGCCGATCATGATCAAGGGTATATGTAAAAAATGACACCCTCTCCGAATTCTGTTCGAGATAATGTACAGCTTGAAGCTTGAATCTTGAACGGTGCGAACGAGTGGGGTCCTGGGTGAGCGTCGAGTATTGAATTTCCCCAGACTTCTTCAAAAGTTTTTCCTGCGGCTCTGAAAGTGAATATCCATCATCGGATAAAACTTAACAGATGAAAAGATGGCAACGACTCGGAGTCGGTGCTCGATGCGGATGCCGCTTCGAAGACGAGGGTTGATGCGGTTCCTGAGGGGCCCCACGCTTATAAGTTGGCATTCCTTGGCATGATGCCCCACATGGGGTGACGCCACAATCAGATTTCCTCAGGGAGACGGCCTCGACCCAAATTCGTCATAGCCTATTTGCAGGGAAGTGAATAACCCTGGATTCTGAAAAGCGCACACGCGTGGTGTAGAGGCAGGTCCTATCGGCAATAACTCCGGAAATCCGAGTAGAGAGCAGGGGGCGGTCATAAGTTGGAGGAAGAAGCAATAATCTAGCATTTAGTGTATTCTAGTGCTCCATCGTTTTTACATTTTACATATTCATAGAAATTAGTTTCCAGACCACCAAGTACCGTTATTCGTCTCCTCGATGGTGTCCGTCCTGAGCTTGCTGCTCGAGTCCAGCGGCCTCTTGGGCCACGCATTCTTAAGGCCGGAGTAGACCTTGACGTTCTTGAACGTGGCCTCACCGCCCTTGGCGACGTACTGGCCAATGTGGAGGGCGTCGCCGCGGCTGGGGTATACGCGGGTGGTGATCGCGAAGCGGTCGTTGACGAAGACCTCGACGAGCGAGCCGTCGACGATGATGTGGAAGTCGAGCGCTTCTGTCTTTCCGTTGATGGTGTAAGGCGCAAAGTGGCCTTGCACGGCGTAGGTCTCGAATTTAGGCATGAGCGTGCTGTGATCACGGTTGACAGAGATGGTCTGAGTGGCAGGGTTGAAGGTGATCAGAGTGTGTCTACAGCCAGAGTATCAGATCGATCCGAGTCGTAAGTTAAATAAGCAAACACTCACTCCTCAAGATCGGGGGAAGCGCGAATCTTGAATCCGGCAGCGCCGCCTTTGATGTTCGAGATGCTCGCCTTGAGCTCGAAAGAGTCACCGGTGAACTTCTGTCCCTTGTCGTTGGCGATGAAGCGCTGGCCGGTGAGTTTCTTGTCAGCGACCTTGATCGCGTGTCCAGTACGGAGACCCTCAAGGACATCGGGGAGGGGGCGCGCGCCGAGCGTGGTGACCGTGTATGTACCCTTGGAGTCCTTCTTCCATGTTGCGCCGGACTTCTCGGGGACACCGGTGGCAGGGGCCTGGACGTTGTGGACCTTCTTGACAAAGAGCTCGCGGGGGAGACCCATAGCACCCTGGAAGCCTTGCGCCTTGATACCGTAGTTGGCCCTGCAGAACAATGTTATTCGGAGTTTTGGTGAATCATGGAAGATTCCTGGACGTACATATCCTCAGGAGTCCATCCCCAAGCAACCCGACGTTTCTTTTTGGGATCCCAGAAGGACGTGATAGCATATAGCTGTGAGCGATGAGAATCTTGCACCATGGAAAAAAACAACAACACGGATACTTACGTTACCCCAGTCAGCAGCACTGCTCGAAACGATGTCGAACTGTGCAGATCCGTTGTCGCGGCGGGACATCTCACCCTCGAGCCAGAGGGCCCAGTGTCCGCTCGGGTGGTAAGGGGGGATCTCACCGCCCTCAGAACCAGTGGTGACGTAGTAATGGAGGGTCTTTCCATCTCCGCCGTGCTGTTTCTCCTCAACCTATTCCAAGCACGATATTTATCAGCGAGGGAAACTACACATACATACAGAAAAAAATACACACCAAGGAGAAGACGCCCGACACCTCAAAGTTGAATCCAAAGGAGCCGGTCTTGGTGGCATCGCCGCCCCAGGACTCGTTGCGCGCGACCTCGAAGAGCGCGCCGTGGAACGTCCAGTTGGTGAGGTCGGATGCGGGGGCGGAGTAGAAGGGGATGCGGGGTCCGACGCCGCGGATTCCCGAGCCGAAGATGACGTAGTAGTGCGGCTCGGTCTTTTGGAGGATCTTGTCCATCTCGGGCCAGGGCAGGAAGAAGGGGTCGCGCCAGCCGGTCACGTTCCAGCCTGTGTTCAATGATAAAGATGAGTGTCTACTCTGTGGTGTGTAGCGGGAAGGAGAGCACGTACCTGGAGGCGGGGCGCGGATGACGGGGTTGTTCTCGTATTTTTGCCAGGTCTTGCCACCGTCCTTGGACGTGGCCATAGCCTGGGTCTCCGTGCTCTCGATGTACGGGATCTACCAAAGTCCATCGCGTCAGAAACAAACAAACATTAAAAACGAGAGTTCGAGACTTACGATCCAGT